CGTTTTATTTGACCCAAGGACGAAGCCTATTGAAAATGGAACAGAACCCCCCGAAAAGGGCTTCCGAGCTCATAATTATGTTAAATATACAGATATATCGATAAAATACGGCACAACTAAGTTTTATAGAAGTCTTCATGACCCTGCCAAATTTCATAAAGATCGGGCCACATTTGACCCTAGCTCCCATACAAAGTCCCCTTCAGAAAATTACTTGAATGTCCCAAATTAACTTATAAACACAAATATCCCGATGAAATTCAGCACAATAAAATATTATGTAAATATAAATATATTCACAAAATTTTATCGGGATTGGTCCATATTTGCCCCTAGCCCCCATATAAAGCATCTTTCAGAAAATTAGTTTTTCAACCATAAATTGCTTAAATGTATCGGAACAAGGGAATATTGAAGATAAATGCTTTATTATGAAAAATAAATCACATTTAATATTCATAACTGGTGTAGGGTATCATATGGTCGGCCACGCCCGACTATACTTTCTTACTTGTTTTTATTTATGTACATATTCGCGTATATGAATTGTGAGAGGTAACAAATGTAAAATGTATAAATTTGAGAGACCCTCTCATCACTCTCATTAAAGTACATACTCATTAATGTTATTATTTTTTTTAATAATATGTGTTCGAACTTTTTGCAGTTTGTTTCTTATATTCATATGTGCGTTGTTTGTGTTATTTGCTACTTTATAAAAATGAAAAAAAAAAAACAAAAAAGTTTTCTCATTCTTTTGCATTCAATAGGTATGTATGTAGTAAAACTTTGGAGGACCATAACTCCCGGACCCTAATAGAACGGATAATTTTTTGTCCTATGTTGAAGTCACAAGGAAAAGTACTATCATGTGGTATAAACAAATTTTTTAAATCAACGCTAGATTTATGCCCATCCCTATTTTGGTGCGGATCAAAATTTTTTTGTTTGCACAACAACAAAACATTCTTGTTTACCCTACTCTAATTTATTTGGAAGTAACCTTCTGTGTATGCTTTTCACATAAAATTAAGTAAACAAACATATTTTTTGCAAGAAAAAAGAAAAATAAGCACGACTTACATTGAAAAAAAAAAAAAAAAATAAAACAACAAGTAGGACCGAGCAAAAAAAAACAGAAATAAACGCATCATAAAAAAGCACAAAATTGTTGTTTTCCAGTCTTTGCACATATTCTTATTTCATTCTTACATGCAAAAACACGAACACTCTCAATCTCGACATTTTACATTTATTTATCAACAGAACTATAAACAAATCATACATTTCATTTTAGAATGCTAGTGCAAAATAAAACTTTATGCTCTTTCAGTTCTGAGATTTTTACAAACAGTTTATTTCTCAAAAATGTCCATGTGCATGAAAAAAGTTTTCTTGTTATCTCAATATTGTACGAAAATAAAAAAACATTGCTAATAGTATCAAGCAAGAATGAATAAAGCAAACTTTTATTTTTGCTTGTTTTTGTACACGAATGGAAGATAACAAAACAAAATTTATTTGTTTTTTTCATGAGAGTGAGCGATAAGTGAATGAATATTTGGAACCCTGGTGCGATGTAATATATACTGATTTTGCAAGGGCATTTGATTCCATTAATCATAAATTATTATTAAATAAACTTTGTAACTTTGGCTTTTGGGAAAATTTCTACTTAACAGAAAATTAAATGTTACAATTGGAAATTATTCTTCCACTCGTTTAATTGAAGCCTACTCCGGTATTCCACAGGGAACACATATTGGTCCGTTACTTTTTATTATTTTTATTAACGATTTACCGTTAATTTTAAAATACTCCAAATGCCTCTTATTTGCTGACGATTTAAAATTGATTGCTAAAATATCCCATTTTACGGATTGTGTAAAATTACAATCTGATTTAACCAAATTAACTGTTTGGTGTTCTGAAAATTATATTAAGATCGATGTATCTAAATGTTGTGTCGAATTAAAGCTATGTGTATACGAAATACACATAGCTTTAATTCGATTATTTTTAATTATGACATTGATGGCACTCTGCTTAGGCAGAGATAAAAGATTTAGGTGTCGTTTTTGACAAGAAATTGTCCTTTTCTAGCCATATAACTTCTAAAGCGTATATTATGCTTGGCTTTATTAAAAGAAATTCATAAGATTTTAGGGATTCATACACTCTTAAATCATTATATATTTCGTTAGTTCGCAGCATTTTGGAATATTGTTCAATAGTTTGGAATCCATACCAATGTGGACAATCCAATCGTATTGAACGCATATACAAAATCTTTACTAAGACTGCATTAAAATTAAATTGGTCCCACGAATTGCCATCCTATGATGTTAGGAGAAAATTATTAGGCCTACAATCGTTAAATGATCGTAGATCTTATTTTTCAATAATGTTTGTATATAATGTTTTATCTAATGTAATAAATTGTTCTGAAATTAAAGAACATTTTACATTATATTGTCCGCCTAGGGATTTGAGGACTAGTCACATGTTTGTGGAGTCTGTCCATAGAACTAATTATGCGGAAAATGAGCTTATTGCAAGATGCTTACACATATGTAATTGCTTTGCTCCTCATTTAAATTTTAATGTAAATAAGAATTTATTTAAATTAATGTTATTTAAATATTATAATTAATAATTTAGTAATCTGTAAGAATATGATTCTGTAGATGAAATGAAATAAATAAATTATTGTGTTAAAAACTAATTTAAGAAATGTTTATGAAGAAGTTGCTTTAGTTTTTGCCAATTTAAATCTGGAGTGAATTTCTTTCTGTGTATTTAAATCATATTTAACGAAAAAAAAATTGGAAATTTTTTTATCGTAATGAAATAAAATAAAAATTATTGTAAATTTTCAGACAGTCCAAAATACATTTAGGTATATCTGCATTATCAAAAAGTCCCCTTTCAAAGATTTTCATACAGGTTCCAAGGTTCAATTTATATATAAAATATTCGCACAGCCTAAACGGTTGTATTTCATAAATTTTCAATCAATAATGTTTAATAAGTCTCAATATTACAGGAAATGCAAAAACTATCAGTTGGAGAACGAAAATGGAAGAGAAAGTCCCTTTTTATAGATTTTAGTTAAATAAGGATGGAGAATGTTAAATTTTCAACCAGAAATTCCTCTCTTACAGATTTTTATACATTCAGGGAGCTGTGTGTCCAATTTTATGTTTTTAGGTTCAATATTATAGAAAATTCAAAAAGTATTACTAAAAGAACAAAAAGTACCAGAAAGCCTCATTTTATAAACTTTCGTTCAATGTTTATATGTTCAATATTTTACAAATATCAAAAAGTATCAGTTAAAGTACGAAAACATACCAAAATACATCTTTTATTTATCTATATTTGTATTTCTAAGTTCAATAGTTTCAATGTTTCTAGGTTCAATATTATAGAAAATTCAAAAAGTACCTACTGAAGAACGAAAAAGTACCAAAAAGTCCCCTTTTATAGATTCTCATTTACTCCGGGCTCTACATGCTTAATTTCATGTTTCTAGGTTCAATATTATAGAAAACTCAAAAAGTACCGTTAAAAAATGAAAAAGTACCAAAAAGTCCCCTTTCATGGGTTCTTATTTACTCCGGTCTCTACATGCTTAATTTTATGTTTCTAGGTTCAATATTACAGGAAATTCAAAAATACCTTTTGAAGAACGAAAAAGTACCAAAAAGTCCCCTTTTATAAGTTCTCACTTACTTGGGGCTCTACATGCTTAATTTCATGTTTCTAGGTACAGTTTATAAAAAATTCAAAAAGTACCTTTTGAAGAACGAAAAAGTACCAAAAAGTCCCATTTTTTAGATTCTCATTTATTCTGGCCTCTACATTCTTAATTTCATGTTTCTAGATTCAATATTATAGAAAATTCAGAAAGTACCTTTTGAAGACCGAAAAAGTAACCCCCTTTTATTGGTTCTCACTTACTCGAGGCACTACATATTTAATTTCACGTTTCTAGTTTAAATGTTAAAGAAAATTCAAAAATTACCCTTTAAATAACGAAAAAGTACCAAAAAGTCCCCTTTTATTGGTTCTCATTACCTCCGGACTCCACATGCTTAATATCATGTTTCTAGGATCATATTATAAAAAACACAAAAAGTAACAGTTAAAAAAGCGAAAAAGTACCAAAAAATAATCCTTTTAATAAAATTGGGTCAGTGAGTTTTTTTCTCGACTCGAAAGTTACAGAACACGGGCACATATTTTTATTCTTTCGTTAAGTTATGAAGGAGTCAAAAATATTTTTTGAATGTTCACTGGTTTAAAAAATACATGGGGTGCAAAAAAGTACCAAAATACAATTTTTACCCGTTTATTGCCTATAGGGTCCGAATTTGAAAAAAGTACCAGACACCTGTCCACTTATTTTTTAAATGAACGACGATAAGCTTTAAAATTTGTATCTTTTCTAGTTTAGAAGATATGAGGTTACCGAATTTACCCGTTTTTATCCTTTTTTACCCCCTAAACATTCGAATGTCCAAAATTTCAACATTTTAGGCAGTCAGTCAGTAACGTTAGAATTTTATATACATATATAGATAAACATTACTTAAAACAAAAAATTTTAAATATCTTCAGCGTGGAAAATTTTATAAACGATTCCACATACATAAATACAATATCAGTTGTGTATATGCCATTACTTCATTCATTCATTACAAAAATTAATGAGATCATTCTTTCATATTAGAATTATTGTCCCAAATTTAATTAAATTAATCGTGTAAATCGAATCCCTCAAAATATAAAAATCGTGTGAACCGTGTGTCATGTAAAATGGGGGGTTGATGTATAAGATTCTTTCTTTTTACTAATTAATTGCTTAAATGTATCGAAATTAGGTAAAATTCAACATAAACGCTCTATTATAAAAACTTATTTCGGTCGGCCTCGTCCTACTACACTATACTTTCTTACTTGTTTTATTATACTTCTAATATATACAATTTTTACAGAAGCTCGAGCAGAAATATCAGGCCCACACATTCGCTATCTTACCCCTGGATCAACTTTAAGACTGCAATGTCATGTCGTACAAAATACTGAAATTTCAGAATACATATTTTGGTATCACGATAATCGAATGATAAATTATGATGCTGATCGAGGAATAAATGTTTCCACAGATCCAGGTAAGTACTTTATTAGAAACTAAATTTTGATACCCGGCGTTTCCCGGGGTTTTTAGTGGATTCATAAATTATACTTCCCTAGGGTAAACTATAAAATTTGCTCGTTTACTTAAAATTCCTTTTAGCCCTCACTTCAGAAATACATTTTCTGGCAATTTATAAAACTACAACTCAAATTTATTTGATTTAGATCAATAGAATGAAAAAATTCCAAAATAACAATTATATTACTATATAGTTAGCTATAACTATTTCTTGTGATTTTATAAAGCTACAAACGAAATTTCGTTGAATTAGAACAATGTTGATAAAAGTTAGCAAAAATACTAACCACACCCTCTTGCTACATTGAATATCCCAAATGTATATTGTTTAAGCTGACTACACACCACAACAAACCGACATGTCAAAATTTTCAAATATTATAGTGTAGATACAAAGTGTAATAAAACTTACTGAAAGGACGGATGGGAAATTGAAAGCCGTATGATTATTTTCAATTTTTTGAAAACTATTGGATTTTTTCGTTTTATCAGAGTTTTATTTTTATTTAAAAACAAACAAATAAAAACATAAATAAAATCCATTTTAAAATGATAATTTATGTTTTTCTTTGAATCTTTTCGAATTGAAGTTTCATTTTATTTTAAATATGAACTTTGCTAATACATATTTCAAATGAGCGTTAATACTGACAATAATTAGTGTTTACGCTTAAAAGTACTAATTTTGTATCTTTTCACCCGTTAAACCTCTCCATGTCCCCTCCTTCTCAAAGTTTAAAAAAAAAACAATGTAGCCTATAACACCATCCAAGTATAGATCTAACTCAGGGTTTGTCAGTTCATAGCACAATTGTGCTGACTAACAACACCAGCATTGGCCTGTTATGCGCTCCTTATCATGAAAAAAAAAAACTGAAAGAATTATTTTTCAGTGTTCAGAAACTCAGTTTCCTGAACGTAATTCCTAAGAATCTTCTAATCAGTGTTAGTCAGGAATGTTATTTCTGGAATAACATCACTTCCAAGATACTTGGATCTAAATTCGACGAATGCCTGGCAGTGGCAAAGAAAGTGCTCCAGAGTTTCACTGTCCTCCCCACATGTTCTACATTCGTCAGAATCCGCACGTCCAATTTAGCAGAGACGTGCTCGTAATCCTTTGTGCCCACTCAGAATACGAACCATCATACTAACTTCAGGCTTGCTCATTTTGAGAAGATTTTTTATCTTGCTCTCATCAGGGTCACCCCAAAGGATCTTCTTGTTTCTACCCACTGTTTCATTATTCCAAGAGGCCTTATGGGTTTCTCTCATCCATATTTTTAGTTCAGCTTTTGTTGCGTCGAATGGTTTTGCGTTTGTCAGGTTAACTGCCTCGAGCTCCTTTCCCTTTAAAGCTATTACATTCGCCCTTTCGTTACCGACTACTCCCGAGAGGCCTGATACCCATATGATGTGAACCTTACCTCTGAGAGAGTATTCAGTTAAAGCTTTCTTACAATCCAATACGGTCTTAGATTTAGTTCTATCGCCTGATATCGCCCTAATTGCCCTCTGGCTGTCGGTAAATATATTAAGGGTCGTGGGCGCCATATTTATTCTAATCCAATTTACGCATTCCGTTATTGCTCGTACTTCTGCCTGAAAGCTTGTGTTATGATTTGGTAAACGGTGGTATATTTCTGTTTCTGGGTCTTCAATATAGAAACCCCAGCCCCACTTTGTCCCCAATTTAGAGCCATCCGTGTAACAACGGATTCCTAATGGTATTTGCTGCAATGTTCCGCTTGACCAAGACATTCTATCTGGGATCAGCGTTTCAAAGTTAATGTGTCCAGTATACATTGCTGACGTGTCCTATAATCGCTTTTGGCCAGTTCGCCTAAAGTAAAGAGCCGTTCGGCTGTAAGCGGCTCCTCATATCTTATATATGTTTCAATGGGTGGAATATCTAGCATCGTTTCCAGAGCCTTGGTTGAAGTAGTACACATGGCACCACTTATACCCAAGCAGCATGTACGCTGAACTCCCTGTAGTAGTTTGATATTGCACTTTTTGTCTAAAGCAGTCAACCAGATTATTGAAGCATAAGCTAGAATTTGTCTAATTACACTTTTATAAAGCCAATTTGTCATATTAGGACTAAGACCCCATTTCATGCCTATAGTTTTCCTACATATCGCCCAGCACCGATGTGCCTTGTTGATCCTATCCTCTATGTGGTGTCTCCATTTTAATTTCCGGTCGAGGATTACACCTAAGTACTTAACTTTGTCTGTCACTGGTATCTTCTTGCACAGGAAGCAAGGTTCAGTATATGTAGAAATGTTTGTCTTTCTTGTGAAAAGACAGATTTTCGTTTTTGCCGGGTTAACGTTGAGGCCTCTCGGTTGAGACCAGCTCAAGGCCGTATTCAGAGCCTCCTCAGCTCTTCTGCACAAGTAATTTGGATCTTTTCCCTTTAAAAGTATTACGACATCGTCTGCATAGCAGACAGATCTAAGTCCTTTCTCAGTTAGGGCCCTTAGGAGGCTATTAATCGTGGTAACCCAGAGTAAAGGTAACAAAATGCCACCCTGTGGTATACCGCGAAATACCTTTTTCATGATGGTTATATCGTACATCTCGCAGCTTATCCATCTGTTCCTTAGCATGTGGTTGATCCAGTTACGGAGCACCCGGTCAACATAAAACTGGTCTAGGGATTGGATAAGAGTATCAGTGTGCACGTTATTGCAGGCGCTTTCGATGTCAATGCATACCGCCAGTGTATACAGTTTGCTATCCAAGGATGCACCTATGTAGTGGACAACTTCGTTTAAAGCGGTTTCCACCGATCGTCCCTTTACATAAGCATGCTGCTTAAATTTTAGGTTTTTGTCGGGTACAGAGATGGGGGTAGTGCACTAATTTTTAACTATAACGAATAATTAGTGGTAGTTCAAAATTATTCACTACTTTTATTTATGTTTAGTGATGAATTGAAAAATATAAGCCTCATTCAATAATAGTGATAGTGATATTTAAAATTTTTAACTAAAAATATTTTAAAAATAGTTAAAATATTTGTTTTTACAGCCTAGTGAAATAATTTTGTCTACACTAAATTATTAGTTCAAAAAATATTCCTGCACTATTTTTTTTCAACAGAGAAATGTTTCACTCATTTGAAAGTTTAAGTTAATAGAACAGTCTAGAAATGGTTTAAGTCAACCAAAAACTCATCGGACGAATATTATTAATGAGTAAAACGTTCATTATTTACAAAGGTTCCAAGCTATTGCCTAAAAAACATGAAGTAACCACATCATTTTGGCAACTGGCACCGTAGCTGAAGTGGCAATCGAGATACAAAATCGACCAATTAATTTATTTCTCCGAGGAGAGTTCCCCATTCCGCTAAAGAAAAAAATCGTTATACTTGAGCAGAAGAAGGCAAAAGTTTTGGAATTTAGGTGTTTCAACCATTTCTTTTTAAAGCATGAGATGTTGTTGGGGTAACTGCATATGTAGGGTCCATCATAGTGTTATCGCTAACAAAATCTGTGTTTTCCATTTTAATAGATGTATCATTTAAAAAATTGAAACATTCATTGTCTTACAAATTTTTTTCATTTTCATAAAAAAATAGTGCAAAGAAAATTATTGAAGCCTTTTGTTAGTGGCTGTTCAAATTTTTAACTATTTAAGTGTAGTGCTTTTTTCTACACTATCACTCAATTGAGTTATAATAAAAAAATAAAATTATCACTAAAAAATATTAGTGCTAAAAATATAAGCTTCACTACAACTAAGCTCCAGACAATTTGTGAAAAATATATTTTTTGAAACAATATTTAGTGCTAGTTAAATATTGATTTAACTAATAATTTAGTGCACTACCCCCATCTCTGGTCGGGTATACTGCTTTTCACCATACCATCAACTATCCGTTCCAAGGTTTTAAGTAGGAAGAACGTAAGACTTATCGGTCGATAAGACTTAGGTGTCGTATAGCTAGGTTTCCCTTGTTTAGGTATAAATATTACCCTTGCATCCTGCCATTTAACGGGGGTATATGTAAATTTCAAGCATGCAGTGAATATCTGAGACAGATGTACGGAAACCAGACCCGCCTCCATCTGTAAGAGTGCCGGGAAAATGCCATCCGGCCCTGCAGCTTTATAGGGAACGAAGCTCTTGATTGCCCCTTTAACCATATCAGATGTAATTACAATTTCCGTGTTAGCCTCCCCTTCCTCCAATATCGGTTCATCTATGTTATTCGATATACCGGGTTGAAAATGAGAGTCCATTAAGAGTTTCATTACCTCCTCCATATCCTCCAGCCTCCTGCCCGTATCATCGACCATAGATTCTGGTTAGACATGAGTTTTGGATAGGAATTTTTTTATCTTCGATACGTCATTTACGCTGTCTACCTGTTCACAGAAAAGTTTCCAGTAGTCTCGTTTGGCTTTACGAACAATTTTCTTATATTCACCAAGTTTACTACGATACTCATCCCAGTATACTGCGGTCTTTTTACGCCGTGCCCGGTTAAAAAGTTTGCGAAGAGTCTTATCAAGGTTCCGGATCTCCCCGGTTACCCAGGGTTTCTCCTGGGCAGATCTCCGCTCTCGCAGAGGACAGCTGTCCTCGGACGATTCAACCAAGGCACTTGTGAGCATTTCTACTTTGGCGTCTATGTCCTCTTTATTTCGACATTGAAAAGTGTTCTGACATAAACGGTTCTTTAGTAAGGAACCGAACATTGTCCAATTAGTTTTAGACTTATTCCGAAACTTTATCGGCTTTGGTGGCGGCCGTAATATTTTGATTCTTAAGTACCGATGGGCAGAAAAGGAGTGCTCGCCCGAAACTCTCCAATCCCGAATTTCGTTTATAAGCTCTTCTGAGCATATAGTTATATCTAATACTTCTTCTCTGATTCTATTGACGAAGGTAGCTTTATTACCTAAGTTCGATGATATCAAGTCTTTAGTATTAAGGAAA